AGGGAGCTCCACCGAAGGTCTCTGGCACCGCCCGAATGCGTCAGCCACCACCCAGCACAGCCCTTGCTCCCTGCGTGTCGCCCACCCAGTACAGCGCTTCGTGGCCCCGTAGGGAGCTCCACCGAAGGTCCCAATGGCACCGCCCGCATGCGTCAGCCACCACCCAGCACAGCCCTTGCTCCCTGCGTTTCAGCCACCCAGTGCAGCGCTTCGTGGCCCCATAGGGAGCACCGAAGAAGATATTCATAATTGCGGTACTCACAACTGCATATGGTTGGGTCCTTCGCCAGGCTAATATTCAAAGGGAACCTCAGGGGGGGGAGCCCGGTTGGCCTGGGACATTGTGATTTCATAGTTAGGATGGACAACTGGTCAGAATCATATGTGATTTACATACCCGAAAGGGGGGCGATAACGCCAGGGGGGTAGAGTCTATTCTCTTGCTAGAAAGGAGAATTGACTACCCTGCACCGCGCTTGACCACTCCACTGCTCGCGCAAACATCCCACCCACCCACCCGCAACTTGGTTTACAAAATCTCTTAAGACAGTGACGGTGTGTACCAAATGTCAGTTGCCAACGACAGCGACGCCGACGACGACAGCGACAACGGCGACGACGACGACGCCGCCGACAACGACTACGACGACACCGACGACGTCTCCAACGACTTCGACGACGCCGACAACGACGACGACGACGACACCGACGACGACGACGACGCCGACGCCGACGACGACGACGACGATGACAACGACGACGACGATGACGACGCCGACGACGCGACAACGACGACGACGACGACGACGACGACGACGTCAACGACGCCGACGACGACGACGACGACGACGACAACGACGACGACGGCGGCGACGACGACGACGCCGACGTCGACGACCACGCCGACGTCGACGACGACGAAGACGACGACGACGCCGACGCCGACGACGTCGCCAACGAAGACGACCACGAGGGAGGAGGGAGGACGACGACGGCGACAACGATGACAACGACGACAACGACGAGGGAGGAGGGAGGACGGCGACGACGCGAACGACGAAGAAGGAGGAGGGACGGCGACGCCGACGACGACAACGACGAGGGAAAAGGGAAGACGACGACGACGAGAACGACGACGACGACGGCGACGAAATTAGGAGGGACGACGACGAGACGCCGTCGACGGACGTCGACGACGACGAGGGAGGATGAGGAAGGACGACCACGGCGACAACGACGACGGAAACGACCACGACGCCAAAGAGGGCGACGACGACGAACACGAGGAAAGACAGGGGACGACGTAGGCGACGACGACGACGACGCGGGAGGAGGGAGGACGGCGACGACGACGGCGACGACGACGCAAGAGCGCGCGCGCACGCTTTTGTTGAAAATCCGTGTTGCGAAACCTTGTGTTTTTGTAGGTTTTGTGGACATACGATTTTGAAATCCTTCCGAAACCGAGGGGTTTTGAAGGATTTTGGCATACGCGCACGACGACGCGCGCGTCTGCACTTTTTTTTTTTTGCAGAGGATTCTCGCGACGGCACACGCGCAAGGGCGTTCGACAGATTTCGACATGCGCGCGCGCGAAGCCCGTTTGGTAGCAGTTTGTGTCAATCTTGGAAACCGAGTGTTTTCTTAAGATTTCGCAAGAGCTCGCGTTTTTTTTTTTTTTTTTTTTTTTTTTTTTTTTTTTTTTTTTTTTTTTTTTTTTTTTTTTTTTTTTTTTTTTTTTTTTTTTTTTTCAATTTTTTTTTTTAAAAAAAAAAAAAATAAAAAAAAATAAAACAAAACTATATATATATAACATATTTTAATTTAGCAAATCAGTGTTGCGAAACCATGTGTTTTTTTGCATGTTTTTTGGGAGCTCGATTGCGAAATCCTTCCGACACCGACGGTTTTTGAAGGATTTCGGCATGCGCGCGCGACGACGCGCGCGCGTGCACTTGTCCCCCCCCCTTTCTTGTGTTATATATATATATATATATATATATATGTATCAATACTCTTCCAAGGGATTTGTGAGAAACTGTTATGTTCGAGCAAAACATTTTCCCGCGCATTGTTTTTTGTTTGCAAGGGAACCTCAGGGGGACCGATCCCGCCCCCCCGGGGATAGTGTAAATTCATACTTAGGATGGACATGTGGTCAGAATCACAAGTGATTTACATGCCCGAAAGGGGTGCGGATAACTCCGGGGGGGGGGGTAGAGTCTGTTCTCTTTTCAGAAAGGGGAATTCATATCTGTTTGCAGTGGGCTGTCAACTCCAGTGCTCGCGCAATCGTCCCACCCACCCACTCGCAACTTGGTTGCAAAACGCACGCGGTGGCGATTGCGATGAGTGCTTGGCGTTGGCTGGTCCATCTCTGCGGCCGCGCCAACTCTAGTACTCGCGCGCAGCGACATCCCAGCGGACACTTCAGTGCGAGTCGGTGACTTGGGCGGGGGCGGTATCATGGCAACGTCGACAACGGTAGACGCGATGGTAATAGTAGCGATGCTGGTGGCGATGTTGACGACGACGGCGCGGCCAGAGTGGGCGCCGATGCTGATCGCGCCGGCGACGATGACGGCGTCCTCTCGTCGGTGATGAAGGTTCGGGCAGAGTTCGACATGAACGCGCGGCCGACGCGCGAGAGTGGCCCGCATGGTATGATTTGACACGGATCATGCCCCCCAAACACGCGCGCAAGGGTGCGCGAATAATCTCGGCGTGCGGCGCCAGAGGCCCATTTGGCAGAATTCCATGAACATTTAGGAAAGCCAGCGATTTCCAACGTGTTCGTGGATTTCTGCAAGAGTGCAAGCGCACGCTTTCTTGAACATTGATGTTGCGTTTTATTTTGTTTTTCTGTCTTTTTCTTTTCCCTTGTTTTGTTTGGATGCTAAGGGTATTTGACGGATCTCGGCGTGCGCGCGCGACGAAGCGCGCGTGCACATCGTCTCATGTTTTGCCAAGGATTCTCGCGACGGCACGCGCGCAAAAATGTTCGAACGATTTCGACATTCGCGCGCGAAGCCCGTTTGGTCGCATTTTCCGAGAATTATGAACAAAAGCGATGGTTTTGATATGCATTCGCATTAGCGCGCGCGCAATTTTTGTCTTGTGCGCGCGACAACGCGCGCGCGTGTGCACTTCGTTTTTTGGTCTGCGAGGGAATCATGAAAACCGCTGAGTTTTGATAAGAGAGTGTGCGCGCATGGTTTTTTCCAGAGGATGGCGGGGGTTGGCGATACAGGCCCTATTGGGATGGTGTAAATTCATAGTTCGGATGGACGATGGGACAGAATCATATGTAAATTGCATTGCCAAGATGGGATGGGATAGTCCCAGAGGTGGGGTCTAATTTATTTGTTAGAAAGGGGAAAACCTATGTGGTGCAATAGGTTTTCGCCCATGAGTTGACACATCCCATGCTCTTGTACACATCCCACCCAGCCACCCGCAACTTGGTTTGCAAAAGTATCAGGCGTTGGCGATTGCGGTGCAGGGATGGCGTTGGCTGGTGCATCTGGGGCCGCGCCAACCCTAGTACGCGCGCGCAGCGGCCAGCTAATTTGGCGCCACCGACGCGGCCGCGGGTGGCGCTGACCGCTGGGCGCATCCCAGCGGGCACTTCAGTGCGAGTCGGCGACTTGGGGCGCGGTCTCATGGCAACGCCGACTGCGGTAAACACGATGATGATCTTAGCGATGCTGGTGGCGATGTTCGGACCGACGAAGGCGCGGCCAGTGCGGGCGCCGATGCTGATCACGCCGATGACGATGACGGCGCCCTCGCGTCTGTCATGCAGGTTTTGCATAAAAATTCGATATGCGCGCGCGGCCGGCGCGCGAGGGTGGCCCGCATGGTATGATTTGACACGGATCGTGCCCCCCCAGCACGTGCGCAAGGGCGTGCGAATCATGTCGGCATGTGGCGCCAGAGGCCTGTTTGGCAACATTCAATGAGCATGCTGCTTTTTTGTTAAAGAATGATAAAACATAAGCAAGAGCGCGCGCAAAGTTTTTTGACAATTGATGTTGCAAAACCATTTTTTTTTTTTTTTTTTTGTTTTTTTTTTTTTTTTTTTTTTTTTTTTGTTTTTTTTTTTTTTTGTTTTTTTGTCATTCGGTTCTTTGAAATCGCAATGTTTTGCTGTATATATGTTTTAGAACAAGAATTCGGCATGCGCGCGCAACGACGCGCGCGTGCGCCCTTCGTCTCGTTTTTCGTGCGCACGTCGTCCCCCGTTTTTTGCAAAAAAGAATCTTGCGACGGCACGCGCGCAACGGCGTTCGAACGATTTCGACTTGCGCGCGCGCGAAGCCCGTTCGGTAGTATTTCTTGCTGAACATGTTGAGCATCCCAGTTTTTTTGGCAAATCGCATGGGCGCGCGCGCGTTTTTTTGAACATCCGTGTTGCGAAACCTTGTACTGTTATATGTTTGTTTGGCATTTGATTTGGAAACCCTTCCGAACCCGACGATTTTTGACAGATTTCGGCATGAGCGCGCGACGACGCACGCGTGTGCACTTTGTCTTATTTTCTGCACAAGGTTTATCATCTCACAGAGAATCTACGCGGTGCAAACTATGCGTGGCGACGGTGCGGCGACGGCGGCGGCAACGGCGGCGACGGGCGGCACGGACGGCGACGGCCGCCCCTGGTCCCGAGACGAGCGGCGGCGACAAACGACGACGGGCGGCACCGCCCGCAAAAGCCGCCCCTGGTCCCGACATGGTTAAGCCGAGTAAGCACTGTTTGGGGAATTGTACGCGGATCCGCGGACAGCGGAACCCACCCGTGTCAAGATGAACATTTGCCGTCCTGCGTAAGTAGCGTGCGCCAGCGTTTGGTAAACGATGGGAAAGCGCGCGCCGATTTAGGGTCGATTAGCGTTGGTTAGCGTCGACTAGCGTCGGCTAGCGTCGGTTACCGTCGGCTAGCGCCGGTTCGCGAGAGCCAGTAAGCTGGCATGGAAGGCTCCCATGAATTGCCACAGAAGGAGACGTGGATGGCGCTGTCATCGCACATGTCTCGCCTGGTGGTCTTCTGCACGAGTGGAATCGTAAAGCCACTGCGCATTCCGTGGAGACGGGGGATACCATCGTTCGGGTGAACGGTGCCACGGGGTACTGGAGCATCCTCAGCCAGATCAAGAAGATGGGCTCTCTCGACATCGTCGTGCAGAAGGCGGCGTCGGGGGACGGATCGCGTGGCCAGGCTTCCTTCGAGCACGATGTGGTGACGCAGTGCCTGCAGGGCGATGGGTCCTTGCTGCTCCACCTGCCGCGTCAGGGCGATGAAGGATGCTGCCTCCCCAGGCCCCCGACGTCATGTTCTTTTCGCAGCGTGGACTCCCGGAGTTGTCGATCCATTCCAGGGACGGGCTCTTCATCCCGAGTCGTTTTCTGACGCTCCCAGGGTCCAGGTGGGGGCCCCCAGAGGCCGAAAACAGCAGCAGTCTTCCCGCCGTGATTTTTCATGACCCCAGGGGCTGGACCTAAACGGTGTTTTTGGCGATTTCGTGGGCCGTTTTCGTTTCGACTTCGTTTTGAGGTAAAGGCGGATTCGAGACAAAAGTGAGGGACAACGAAAACAACATGAACACGAAAAACGCCGTTTAGGTTCAGCCCTGCGTGACCCCAGGATGCTGCCCCGTCGGGTCCGAGACGAGCGTGGTGGCTCTCCCGATCGTGCGGAGCTCGGGGTGCGGCTCGGAGCAGTGCTCCATCTGCCTGGAGGCCTTCCAGGCAGAGGAGAACCTCGTGCAGCTGCCCTGCCGCCACGAGCCTTGAGGCTTCTGCGCCACTCCGCCCCGCCCGAGCGGATGATCACAGAGGAGGACTTGAGCGAAGTTTCGAGGTCCGAGGTTTTCGGGCGTTCTCGTTGGTTCTCGGCGGCTTCCCAGCCTCGGGATACTCTCCAGCAGCTGCCCCCCGTGGAGAGCGTTCCGGAGGCGGACCGCCAGAGGCCCGAGACTTGACCCGACAACCAGACGAACGACGAATGGCAGAGGAGGACGAGTCTCCCCCTCCACTTCCACCTTCACCTCCTCGTCCTCACCCTCCTCCTCCACCTCCTCCGACGAGTGTCAGAGGAGGGCGAGTTGAGACAACGGGAGTTGGCCTTCGGGGAGCCCCCTCGTCGCTGCTGCTGGACTGCGGCTTGAAAAACTTGTCAGTTTTGAGCCCAGGAGGGGGTGGGGGACTGATTTTGAGTGGATTTGCCCTTGGCCCCTCCCCTCCTCCTCCTCCTCCTCCTCCTCCTCCTCCTCTTCCTCCTCCTCCTCCTCCTCCTCCTCCTCCTCCTCCTCCTTGACCGGTTTGGGGCCCATCCAGCGCAGACCCCAGGGGCGCGTCCAACCTGCTGGCATGGTCCCGGAGACTCAGACCCTGCCGCGCATCCTGTCACTCCTTCTGGGTGGGGGGTCGGCGGCGTTCCACGCGGAGTGCATGTACAAGTGGCTCCACTGCAGTTCCCAGGGCAGGTGCCCGCTGTGCAGCAGGCCCGTCTTCAACATCGGGCCCGATGGTGGCTCTTGAGGACACGCTGGCTCTGGGCGCCATTCGCCAGAGGCGGGGGTCGTTCCAGGATCGCACCGGGCTGAATTCTCTTCCTGGAGACGTACTTACCCTAAGCATCACGAGACTTCGCGAGCTTAAACTCAGGTGCGTGATGGGACCGCATGAATGCATCTGTGTGGGCGTGAGTGTATGTGTGTGTGTATATGTATGCATGTCTGTCTGTCTGTATGTCTGTCTGTCTGTCTGTCAGTCTGTCAGTCTGTCAGTCTGTTTGTCTGTGTGTCTGTCTATATGTCTTTCTGCTGTCTGTCTGTCCGTCTGTCTGCATACATGCATCTCATCCATTCATGTATGCATGCATTGATGTAGGTATACACGTATGTATGCATGCACGCATGCACGTATGCACGCGTGTATTTGCACACATATAGATATATATATATATGTTTATGTGTACAAGTGTATCTATGTATAAGTACACACGCATGTGTAGGTATATGTACATGCACCTGTATATGTATACGTATATGCATATGTACATGTATATGTATTTGTATATGTAGATGTATATGTAAATGTATGTGTATATGTCTATGTATATGTGTATGTACATGTATAGGTATATGCATGAGCCTATGAACATGTATTTGTGTATGTATATATGTACGTATTCATTTAGTGTATGTATATACGTATGTGCACGCGTGTACATGTATAGTACTATGTCTATGCATATGTAGACATGTGTGTATATGCCGATGCATATGTATGTACATGTAGATGTTAAACATGTGCACCAAGCAACGTGTATACATATCTGGTTGTCCATACGCACATCTATCATCGATCTATCCACCACCTCAGTCAACAATTTTCTTCGGTTGTCGGGGCGGGCAAAGGCGATCGGCTGACGAATCTACAGTCTCCCCGAACGATGACGATTCTCTTTGAGTCCTGTGGGGCGGGTAGCTCTTGGTGCATATAGCGTTGCCCCGCCGTCGCCTCTGTCTCCCTCTTTGTCTGTCTCTCTCTCTCTCTTTCTATGTAGCTGTCTCCCTCTTTTTTTTTTTTTTTTCTCTCTCTCTCTCTCTCTCTCGCTCTCGCTCTCTCCCTCTCCCTCTCCCTTTCCTTCTCCCTCTCCCTCCCTGCCCCCCCTGTAGCATTTTCTCAACCTTATGGGCCTCTCGAGAGCATTCCAGAACACCTGAGAGCCTGCCAGCTCCCCCCCCGAACTCTCCAAGAGGATTCTACCCCCTGCAACATACAACAAACCATCATCGAGGAAGAGGAGGAGGAGGAGGAGGAGGCGGAGGAGGAGGAGGAGGAGGAGGAGGAGGAGGAGGAGGGGGAGGGGAGGAGGAGGAGGAGGAGAAGGAGGAGGAGGAGGGAGGAGGAGATGATGATGATGGATGGAGATGATGATGATGATGATGATGATGATGATGATGATGATGATGATGATGATGATGATGATGATGATGATGATGATGATGATGATGATGATGATGATGATGATGATGATGATGATGGATGATGATGATGATGATGATGATGATGATGATGATGATGATGATGATGATGATGATGATGATGATGATGATGATGATGATGATGATGATGATGATGATGATGATGATGATGATGATGATGATGATGATGATGATGATGATGATGATGATGATGATGATGATGATGATGATGATGATGATGATGATGATGATGATGATGATGATGATGATGATGATGATGATGATGATGATGCTGATGATGATGATGATGACGATGATGATGATGAGGAGCATGACGAGGAGGAGGATGAGGAGGATCAAAGCTTTCCAGGGCCCCCCTTGGGAGCATTCGAGTGCCGTGCAGATCTGTCTAGAGCCCTCGGCAGTAGGGTGAAATCCCCTGGAGCCGCCTGGGTCATTCCAGAGGCCCTCCAGGGCTGCCTGGGACGTGCAGTGCTCACGAAACAGTTGCGGTGTCCTCTAGGGCCATCAGGGGCACTCGAGTCTTCTAGATACTTATTGAGCTCTCTAGAGTCCTCGAAAGCTCACGCAAGCATTCGAGAACACTCGGGGGCCTGCTAGATCGTTTCAATTACGTCTAAGGGGATTCTTGAGCCTTCTGAGGCATGCAAGAACTCGCCGAAGTTTTTTAGGGCCACTTGGAACCCTCGAGACCATTCGAGTGCCTCCCAGATCCGTCTAGAGTCCCCGAATTCAGTTTATAATTGTTCGAAAGAAATGCGGTGCCCTCCAGAGCCAACAAGATCGTTCGAGTCTTCTAGATCCGTCTAGAGCTCTCTTCAGTCCCCTAGAGCTTTCGAGAACACTTTAGAGCACTCCGCCTTCTGATGCATGCATGGTATAGCCAAAACTTTCTAGGGCCACGTGGAACCCTCGAGATCACTCGAGTTCCTTGTAGAACCGTGTAGAACTCACGAGAGTTTTTTTGCAATCAGCGGGGGCCGACTGGATCATTCTAGAAACCCTCTAGCGCTGTCGTCTAGAACTTGCAGGGCTTTCGAACGCATTGCGGTGCCCTCCAGAGCCATCAGGAATATTCGGGCCTCCAGAGCTCTATACAACCCTTTAGAGCGCCCGAAAGCATTCGAGAGCATTCGATTGCCTGCTGGAACCCCCAAAACCTGCTGAGAGGATCCCATAGCCATGTGAAGCATGCATGAATTATTCGACGCTTTCTAGGGCCACCTAGAGCCCTCGAGAACACTCGAGTGCAGTCTAGATTTGTCTTGAGCCCTTGACAGCATTCGAAAATCCTCTGGGACCTCCTCTTTTAGAGGCTCTGTAGAGCTGTCTAGATCCCAGCGCATTCGAAACCATTGCGGTGCCGTCTAGAATCGTCAATAGCGTTCGGGTTTTCTTCTAGAGCTCACTACCGCCCCCTGCAGCGTCCTCAGACCTTCTGGAACACCCTGGAGCCCGCCACTGGAGCATTCTAGACCCGGGTAAACATGCAGACCGCTCTGAGGCATTCCAGAGCATTTTAGAACCTTCTTGGGGATTCCAGAGCGTGCCAGAGCTCCCCAGCGCCCTCTGCCACCGCAAGCCTTCCACAGCACACGAGCATCCAATGCAGCCCTCCTGGCTTCCCCTAGTACGGCACTCTAGAGCGATCGAGAGCACTCAACAGCCTGGCAGATCCCTCCTTGAACTCTATGACGGCGAGTCTAGAACCATCTGGAGCACGCTAGTAACCGTCAAAGCCTTCTAGAGCATCCGAGAGCGCCCGAGAGCATGCGAGTGCCTAGTAGACCCGTCTAGAAAGCTCTAGACCATTACACATCATCTGGGGCCTTCTGGGTCATTCCAGTGGCCCTCTGGTGCACAGAACCGTCTAAGCATTCGAAATCATTGTGGTGCCGTGTGGAGCCCTCAGGATCACCCGGGCCTTCCAGATCCTTCTCGAGCTCAGGGGGGGCAAACTCATATCCTGGCGAAGGAGTCCACCATATGCACGTGCGTGTACCGCAAATCAGTCGAGACGAATGAGGGGACCCCTTATGGGGCCATGAATCGCGTGAAGGGTGTGCCGCAATTGGCGGGGCGCCGCATGTGGATGCTGCCGTTGGGGCCTCGTGCGGAGCCCCTCATGGGGCTACCAAGCGTGTGACTGGTGAGCCGGCATGCGCGGGGAGTCGCATGTGGACGCACCCGCTGGGTCCTTCGGTGGCGTTCCCTATGAGGCCACGAAGCGGTGTGCCGAAATGGGCGGGGAGTCGCATGTGGACGTACCCGCTGAGGCCTCAGGCGGGGCTCCCTATGAGGTCGGGAAGCGTGTGAGGGGTGTGCCGAAATGTTCGGGCGGGCGCACGTGGACGCACCCGACCTTATGTGGGCCCCACATGGGGCCGCGAAGCGTGTGAGGGGTGTGCGGAAATCGGTGGGTGAAGGTGTTTCGGGGGGGGCGCTTGTGGACGCACCTGCTGAGGCCTTCGGTGGAGTTTACTATGGGGCGACGACACGTGTGAGGGGTGTGCCGAGAGGCGCGGGGCGGCCGCGTTCGAACGGTGCCGCCAGGGCCTTCGGTGGGGCTCCCGAGCATGGGGCCACGAAGCGTGTGAGGGGTGTGCCGACACTGGCGGGGTGTCCGCCTGCGAGCTGTGCCGGTGTGGCCTCACAGGTGGAGCTCCCCACGGGGCCACGAAGTGTGCGAGGCGTTTGCCGAGATGGGCGGGGCGGTCGCATGTGGCCGCTGCTGCTGGGGCCTCCTTCGGCGGAGCTCCCCGTGGGGCCTTCGAGGCGGCTGCACGCGGCCAGTGCTGCCGCGACCGAAGGTGGAACTCCCCATGGGGACAGGAAGCGTCTAATGGGTGTGCCGAACCGGGCGTGGCGGCCGCGTGCGGTCCGTCCCACTGGTCGGGGGTGGACGGAGCCCCCTCCCTGACACGTCGATTAGTGGACTGTCCGCTCTCGGTTCTCGAGAGGGCGCCGCGGCCGTCATTTTCCAGGCTTGCGCCCGCCAGGTTTGGGCCCGAGGTCGTCTTCACTAAGCCACGTTTTACTAAAGGGGGTTCTGTCCATCCCCGAGCTGGTGGCCTGGGTGGAGCTCCTTACAAGACCACGAAGCGTGCGAGAGGTGTGCCGAAACGAAAGGGGCGGCCAGAGGCGGCCAGGCCCTCTGAAGCCATCGACGGATCTCCCCATGTGGCCTCGGAGCGTGCGGAGGGTGTGCCGAACTGTGGGGCAAGGCTGGAGGGATGGGGCTCCGTCCCCCCAACATACTTATACTATGTGTGCGTCGCCCCCCCCAGGGGCGACGCGCGCACCGAGAAATCTTATAGTATATGCGTCGTGGCGGGCGCTTTCTGGCCACACCGTTCGAAAAGCGATATACTACAAGATGGGTATACTTTATGTTCGGGTCGGACGCGCGCCTCCAAGGCGGACACATAGTATTAGTATGTCTCTGTGCGTCCCAATGGAGGGGGGAGGAGCGGGAGGAAGCGAGGAGGAGGACGCGGGGTGGTGCGGATTCACAGCGAGGACCCAACACCACAGGATGGTTGGGAGAACGGCACGTTGGGATTGTACATCTGTTTGTTTTGTTTCCCTCCCGCTCTCGGAGTAGACTCGCCTAGGGCCCACGAGGGCATTCGGATGCCTCCTAGATCTTTCTGGAACCCTCTATGATATTTGAGAATCATCCAGAGTCTTCTGGCTATTTCTTCAACCTTCAACAACGCCGTTTCTGCACGACCATCGATTGAAGAAGTGCCAGCGGCTGGAGGCGTACGTCCATACCACGGCTATGTCTTACATGCGTTTAAACAACCTGGAAACCTATAACGACTTTTGGCATAATGGTTGTGCTCTCTAGTGCCCTTAGGAGCACCCGTGCCTTCTAGATCCGTCCAGAACTCTGTAGAGCCCCCAGCAGCATTCTCAAACCTTCTGGGGCCCTCTGAAGCCTTAGAGGGCATTCAAGAGCGTACGAGAACACTTCCAGGGCACTCTACACCATCGTAGACCCTCTACAACCTTCTCGAAGTTTATAGTTCTCTCCAAAGCTTTCTGTAGCACGCTGCTCCTCTAGAAAGCGTTCCTGAACCGCCAACATCTTTTAGGGACTTCTACAGAGCGCTTGGACATTGTAGATACCTGTAGGTCACCCAACAACAAGTGGAACATTGAAGGCTTTCCTGAGCCCTCTGGAGCGTTCTAGAACCGTCTGGGCCCACGTAGAGCCTGGTTGGGTCCTCTGGGGCCGTCTAGAGCTTTCCAGGCCTTTCGAAAGACATTTTGGAGCTCTCACGAGCCCCCACGAGCCCTCTACATGCCTCTAAGGCCCTTTGAAATGCTTTACTATCTTCTACAGGCCGTCCAGAGCAATCCAGACATACACCACATAACCTTTTAGACCCCTCTAGCAGTTCTATTTGGGCGCGGCGCAATCTGTCCAGCGTAGCGGAGTCCCAGTCCAGTGGTGTGGAGGGGGGGGGAGCAAACATAACAACACACAACCAATCCGGACGTTTGTGTTTGCTCTTTTTGTGTTTGGCTGCCTCGGACTCACCGACGACCGCCACAGACCGTACAACCTTGCCGAGTTCTTTAGGGCCGCGTAAAGCATTGCAGAACCATTTTCCCATCGTGTATAGCATCATGCGGAGAACCCTGAACGTTCAAAGGTCGATACCGTCTTTTTCCCCCAGTCGTATTGGGAAGTCCTAGCGGGTGGTGCCGCCGACCCTGAAGGGGGACGGCGACGACGACGGCGGCGGCGGCGACGACGACGACGACGCTGACGCTCTGGAGCCTTTCTTGGGGCTCTCTTGGGAGCCTCTTGGGCTCTGTTGGGGCTTGGGCCAGGGCCGCGGCTGGGGCCGAGGCCGAGGCTGGGGCCACGGCCGGGGCTGGGGCCAGAGTCCAGGGGCTGGGGCAGGGGTTCGGGCGCCGGGGCCGGGACCCGGGCTGCGGCCCCCTGGTCTGGGCCGTCCCGGGCCGGGGCCGGAGCGGGGACCTCAGGGCCAGGGCCGGAGCGGGGGCTGGGGCGCGGGGGAGCAAGGTATCTGGGTGTCGCCCCCCCGGGCCCCCCCCGGGGACCCCCCAGCTGGTTCCCCTCTGGGACCCCCACCCCCGGCGCGTAGGAGGGATCAAAGGGAAGGGGCTTCCCTTCGATTCCACTCCGATGTTTTTCGATTTGGCTCTGGACGGCGCGTGTGAGGAAGAGGGCCCATGCAGATGGAACTGAGGAGGGCGGAGACGACGACTCCGACAGACACGCCCGACTCAAACGGAAAAGCCCCTCACACACGCCGACAGGGTCGGCGGATTCAGCTGCGTGTAGCGCATGGCGTGGGCCTCTCTTCAGATACTGCGCGCCACGGGGCAGTGCGGTAGAGTCAGGTCGGGCATGTCCTCGTACAGGGGATTTTGGACGAAAAATAAATGATAGTCAAACAATGTTCCCTAAATATCAAAAAATGATAAAGAATCGTCACAGGACTTTTTTTGTGTGACTATTTTTGAATTTTCCTCCTGTAGAGGGACAGGCCCGACTTACCAGTAGAGGGGCTGCGGGGCAGGGACTTTTTTTCTCCAAGAAAATTATATATATATGTATATACACACCATTTCTGAATATTTTTTGGGGGTATTTGGCGGGAATTCTTCATTTTTCGTCCCAAATCCGCCTGTAGGGGGACATGCCCGACCTCAAATTAGACGTCAGTCTGCATGCGAAAGCACTCAATGGGGCCGTAGGTGGAGCTCCCTGCCATGCGAACCCTATGGGGCCACGATCCTTGTAAGAGGTAGTACGCCGAATCGGGGAAGGGGGCGCGCCATGCGAACCCTGCCACGGGGGACGGAGGTGGACTTAGGTGGGGCTCCCTATGGGGCTTGCGCAGAGCATGCGGACTTTGCCATTAAGACCTTCGGTGGAGCTCTTTTTTTTAGCTTGCAAAAACATGGCAGGGGCACGAACGGAAGTGTGTACGGCGGTGACATGCGGACTTTGCAATTTGGGCCTTCGGTACGGCTCCATATGGGGCGTGAAGAATGTCGCAGGGACGAGCGACAAGGGTGCGGCAGTGGCATGCGGACAATGCCATTTGGGCTCGGTTGTGCGCCCTATGAGTGGCATACGGTCTTTGCCATTTGGGCCTTCGGTGGAGCTCCCCATTGGCCCTGGAAAACCTGGCAGGGGCGAGCGAAATGTGTGCGACGGTGTTATGCGGATTTTGCCATTTGGGCTTTCGGTGGGGGCCACGAAGCGGGTGTGGGGCGCGTGCCAAATGAACGGGAACCCCCGTGCGGTCGGACCCACTGAGACCGTAGGTGGAGCTCCCGATGGGGCCACGAAGCGTGTGAGGGGCGCGCCAACATGAGCGGGCCCCGCTTGCGGTTTTCGCCCTCTGAGACCGTAGGTGGAACCCCCTTATGGGACCACGAAACGTGTGAGGGGTGTGCCGACATGACAGGGACACCCTATGCGGTCGGGCCCATTGAGACCGTAGGTGGAGCTTCCTACTGGGCCACGAAGCGTGTGAGGGGTGTGCCGCCGCAGAGACATGCGGAGGGCAGAGGCAGGAGGGAGGAGGAGGAGGAGGAGGAGGAGGAGGAGGAGGAGGAGGAGGAGGAGGAGAAGGAGGAGGCAGAGGAGGAGGAGGAGGGGGAGGAGGCGGATGAGGAAGAGTGGACGCGGGTTACTTCGGGTTCAAAACGAAGACCCATCACCACACGACGGTTGGGAACAGTTCATTTTAGTAGGAGTGGGTGGATAGCGCTCATGCGTTTATGCGCGCACATGATACACACATACGTACACACACATGTATGTGTACGTGCATGTGTATGTGTTTGCGCATGTGTGTGTACACATATGCATATATTCATGCATCTAGGCATGCATGCATGTATGTATGCATGCGTGTATGTATGCATCTAGGTATGCATGCATTCGGCATGTTTGTGTATGTATGCATGCATGCATGTCTACATACACGTATTTCGGTTTTCATGTATGTAGGTATGTCTATACGTTAGTGACGTATGTATGTATGTATGCATGTATGTATGTATGTATGTATGTATGTATGCATGCATGTATGTATGTATGTATGTATGTATGTATGCATGCATGTATGTATGTATGTATGTATGCATGTTTGTATGTATGTATGTATGTATGTATGTATGTATGTATGTATGTATGTATGTATGCATACAGATATATGCTCGCCCCCCCCAGCGCACCACAACGACCATCTTTCTCTTCCTCCTCCTGGCTCCCTCACGCTCCTCCCCTCATCAGGCTCAGCATGTTCGATGGCGATTGTTCGAGAAGGCACCTGAGGCCTCTTGGATGTTCGTTGGGATATGCGGCGATGCTGGCGTCGTGGAGGTTCGCATTCGACAAACCCACTCTTCCGCCCAAGCCCAAACGCCCGCAATCCGAACGATAAATGCGGGATTGCTGGCGCGGTGTGGGCGGTTGGGCGGGTAGTCGCAGGTATATCGGCGAGCGGGCGGGCTCGCTGCGCCAGGCGATGGATGCGCTGTACCACAAGAACGAGCTGGCCCAGGAGTGGCTCCTGAGGATGGCCCTCGGTGCTCGGCGCGGCCCGCGCCAGGCTGATGCGCCTCGGCGTTGGGGCTGAGCGCCTGGCGTTTTGATCTCCTTCTCTCTCTCTCTCTCACTCTGTAAGTTGTTATTTCCTTTTATATCTGTCCATCTCGCTCTCTCTCTCTCTCTCTCTCTCTCTCTCTCTCTCTCTCTCTCTCTGTCTCTCTCTCCATCTCTCTCGCGCTGCCCTCTCTCTCTTTCCCTCTCTCCCTGTCAGTCTCCGCAGCGCTCGTGGCAGGTATTGCGAAAGTGTGGCTAGAAGAAAGCCACGGCGAATGTTTGCCTGCTTCTGGTGCGCGCTGTATATAGTTTACAGATATATTTTCGCAGGGCCTATCAGAATGCTTGTTACTCCACATCGAAATCGCTGCTTGGCCAAAAGCTCGGTTCATTAGAAACACGCAGACGGACATTGTCTTGCGCCCCTGCCTGTTGCAAACAAAAACGACGATTCGTTTCGAGTGCGCTCCTCGTGCATCAGCGGCGCGCTGCCGCGCGCGCTATTCGGTTGCGTCCCAGGTTCGGACGTGCGCCGCGTGGCTGACATCGCCTGACGCCCTTGCGCGAACACATGTCGAGGGTGTGGATTGGTCAACGACTTAGGGTTTCATGGAACGCCGCGCCCAGGCCGCCCTCGGACTACCGCCTCACCGCCAAGTCGTCTTCGATGCGGATGGCGACCAGCCGAGCCATCGCATAAGCGTTGCCTCCCCGTTGGCACCCCTCCACCTCGCATTCGTCTTCGTTGAATTCGCAGCAGTTTTGGTTCGAGCGTTCACTTCCGTCGTCGGGGCGCTGGCCCAGAGCCCGCAGCATTGCCCTCGCGGCCTTGCCGCTCGGCCGCCGTCAGCTGCCATGGGCACGGGCCAGAAGTGCTTCCCGCCCGCGAAGAGAGGCAAGTTGCGCGCCTTCTTGAAGGGCACTGGCAAGAAGAAGGCTGTCATGAAGCGCACCGCAGCGATGAAGATGAAGAGGGGAGATGCCCCCAAGACTCGCGCCCCGAAGAGCGTGCCATACGTGCGCCACGGAGCCTTGACGACAAAGTCGCGGCGAGACCGCGAACAGTGGGCGCGCTGCCTGAAGGACATCGTGAACCGCCCCCTGAGGACTATCATCAACTTGCTCAAGAAGGATGGCGTCCTGCCCGAATGGCACGGCGTGGCTTGTCCGTACTGCCAGAGGTCAACGCTCGGCCCTCTCAAGGACTTCGGGGCGAAGGGGGGCGGGTGGGCGCGCATGTGCAAGGGCAGAGACTGCGAGCGCCGCGTACTGCCCCATGCCTTCCACCCTATCTTTCGCGTCGGTGCTGGGAAGTCCCATGCTGGGCTTGGTGACCAGGCTGCGATCTTGTTCTGCGCTGTATCTGGGTGCACGCAGACGACAGTTCGCTACCTGCTGAAAAAGAACCACAAGTTGGCGGAATCCATATACAAGTCTCTGTACGATGCCAGAGCCAATTACGTGCGGCAGGAAGAGAAGAAGATCCGCTTCGGCGAGGATGTCGAGTGGCCCGACGTCGAGGCGGACGAGGTCGACGTTGCCAAGGGCGAGGACCCAGACGCCACCTCGCGCACCAAGAAGCCAGTGGCGTGGGAGCAGTGGGGCGGGATTGTCCAGCGCGGAGACCCTAAGTCGCTCGTCCTCTTCAGGCTTCGCCCAGAGAAAACAGTGCGGGGGGCGCCAGGCCCAGGCCCGATCCGCAAGCGCGACTGGGCCCCGCTGGCCAAGAAGTGGCTCAAGCAACGCAAAGTCATACTCCACACAGACGGCGCCCGCTCCTACAAGCTGCGCGTTGACGGCGTGGTCCACGGCTGGGTCGTCCACATGAAGAAGCGCGTGAAGACCGCTGGTGTTTGTGTTTGGGTGGGTGGGTGGAGGAGGGGAAGGTGGCCGTCCCTCGCCGACGCCGATTGCGGCGGTGCCCTTTTCTGCCGCAGAGTCAATTGGCTCGACCACTTGACCAGAGGTACGATGTGGGCATTGTCAGAGTCGGCGCAGGCAAAGGACAGTCGGCCCCTTTGCCGCTCCTCGCAGGTGAACGGCAAGTACGTGTGGGTCAAGCCAGCCTTCACGAAGGTCAGGTATCACGACATTGCAGACAATGAATGCTCCAACAAGAAGAAGCGCATCTGGGTGAAGTGCGGGACCCAGATCATTGACCGCGTCTGGGGCGGGTTGATGCGCCACCTTGGCCCCAGCCGCGGGGTGAACTCCCGCGCGCTGGCAAACAAGGTGAGGTCCTTCCAGTGGTGCTACTGGAACAAGGGCGAGGACCTGTGGGCGCAGACGGGCAATATGCTTACCGCTCTGTTCCAGCAGCAGCACGAGTGAGCGAGCCCATCTGCCGCTGCAGAGGCACTGCATACCTCCGTCTCAAATGCCACCTACCCTGGCCCCGCACTGCTTCCCGCACGGCGAAATGTTGGGCCAGCGCAGCGAGAGTGCCCAAGCGATATGTGTGTGGACGTGCATATTGGTTCTGAGGTTCGAGAAAAACTACGTAGTCTGCCCGCATGGGAAGTCCGCCCGCAAGGGTATGATCAGGAGCAGCCGTCGCCGTCGTCGCGTCGCCGTCGTTGATTCAGCCCCCGCCCCCTGCGGTTGCCCCCGCCCCCGCTGTGTCCTGCCGCCGCTATTGATCAGGCTTGCGCAGGGTGTCCGAATACATTCGCACGCGCACAAGCCCCTGGTATATCTCTGCTCATGACCAACCTCCCCGCCCTCGGAATGAAGTCCCTGAGGGCGCGCTTGGAGGTCGAGGGGGCGGACGGCGAGAAGATCCAGCATGTATTCGAAAAGGTCCGCGGCCACGGCTCGGCCGTCCCGATGTACCAGACGGCGTTGCACCCAGAGGAATTCCAGGACGATCCCCCAGCTCTCTACTCTGTAGGGGATCTCCCCCTCATGCCGTCTGAAGGTTGCAAGAAGATGAAGCATGCCTTTGCCGTTGTCTTGAACTACCAGGGGGACATCGACATGGCCGCGGTGCGGGAGGCCATGGCGGTCAACGGCTACAATGGTCTGCCAGAGCTATTGCGCCCCAGAACAAACTGGGAAGCCCTTTACACGATGCAGTTGGCACTGGTGCCCGCTGGCGACGGCGACGGGGCGGACATCATCACGTACTTTCTGTTCTCGGGCCCGCAGCCGTTGGTCGACGTCGAGAACCGCCTCCTGCGTGAGAATGAAGTGTTGTACACGCTATCTTGGGGCAAGGGAGCGGACGTCAAGACGCCGTGGAAAGTCTTGGTCTACATGATGGATCGGCTCGGTGGCACGCACTTCCGTTACCACCTACCCCCGCAGGAGAAGGGCGAAATGGAGAAGAAGAAGAAGTGCCTTCCCCAGGACATGACCGTATCCCAGTACCAGTTCATTAAGGACAACGCCCCGCGCGGCAACTTCGATTGCGAACAGATGATGTGGATCGACTTCCAGCTGAACGACCCGCAGAGCCCCATCCACAGCTGGAAAGAGGGGAAGATTAAGGAGGTTCTCTCGCACATTAAGGACCAGGGCATTCAGGCGAAAAAGATCACGTACCACCCCATCTTCATCTTCGACACAGGGGGCGAGGGCGTCGAGCGCGCGAAGCGCATCGTGCCTACTTTCAAGAGCCGCTCCTGCCTCATGGTCGGCGAGCCTGGCGAGGGGGAGACGCCGTGCCTGGAGACGCTGGCATTCGCCATGGGCGACTACTACGCAGACAAGCTGGGGGGCCGCGGCTTGGCCTCGTTCAGAGAGGGGCCAGACCTGGATTTCTTCAGGGCCGAAGAGGGCACGAAGCACTGCCCGTGCGTCTTTGATGACGGCGACTTGTTCGAGCAGCGCCCGAAGACGTTGAAGGCTTTCTTGGACGTCGGCCAGTTCCAGGCGATGACGAGGGAGCGGTGGGGGGCTGCCAAGTTCGTTCGGGGTCAGGCGCGCTTCGCCGCGGAGAACATGTACGACGAGACGGCTGTCCCCACCATGGACGCGTGGCGCGGTCTGTGCATCTTGTCGCCAGCTGAGGCCAAGCAGAAGCGAAACCAGTACTTCTTCGACATGCTCAAGCGCACGTTCCCCAAGGACATGTCCAAAGCGAACGTCATGGCCCTCTTGAAGCGGTCCTCCGCGGTCGTGAACACCCCCAATGACGTGTTCGAGCGCTTGGCGGGTTTGGACTCGGACGTGACGAGGGCCCCGAAGGTTGGCCACTACATTACCAAGGCAGCGGGGAATATTCTCTACGACTACATCCACAACGGCGTGATGCGGGACGCCGAGGAATACAACTCGCTGAGGGACAAGCAGCTCCGCTTCATGAAGGCGCTGCTGGACAAGGGTTCCGTGCCCCTGCCTCTCTCGGTCAAGGAGGAGCAGCCGCCTGACGGCGCCGAGGGCGGCAGTAGTTCGTCGGCGGCCCGCGAGCCCCTCCCGCCCTTGCCCAAGCGCATCTGCTGGGCGAGGTCGTTCGGGAGCATCCCGGAGGTCGAGATCGACCTCTCGAGCTCGCCCGAAGAGGCCCGCGGCGCCGCCGCCGCGCCCAGTAGCCAGGACCTCGCCGCTGCGCTCGCCGATGCAGACAACGGCGATCCGCTCGGCCTGGGCGGCGGAATGAATGCCGATGCGTCGGAATGAGCGGGCGGCCGCTTCGGCGGGGGGCAGCCAGCGGCCAACGCTGCCCCTCGATATTATAAATGCTGATCGATTGTACACTGGCTGCCCCGACTATGCCAAAGACGAGGGAGTCACAGCAGCAACCGCAAACGCTACCTTCCAGAAAACGTTGTCGCCACGTCGTCGTCACCCTCATATTATTTGTGAACTTGTTCTTCCTTTCCTCACCGTTTGCTGCCCACGTCTCCCGATCGGCTGAGCAAGGTCCGCTGCCCAAAGCTAGACACAGAGGGTCCATAAGGCGTTGGTAAGGACACCTTGTGAAAACACAAGTCCCGTCCATGCTGCGGCCGCTGTCGTGAGGAAGCCTTGTGACACACACACGCACACACACGCACACACACACACACGCACGCACACATACACACATACACACACACGCACGCACGCACACACACACACACGCGCCTGATAGTTTTAATCGTTTTCGTAAGGGAACTCTTATGAAAACGCAGGTATTCTTGATATGTTTGAAGTTTTTGACAAGAAAACCATATACAAACATAGCTATTCTTGATATTTTTGATGGTTTTCATAAGGAAACCATGTGCAAACACAGATATTCCTGATATTTTTAATGGTTTTCGTTAGGAAACCTTGTGAAAACACAGATAGTCTTGACATTTTGTGGTTTTCTGGAGACGGGCGCCCTTCTTCCTCTTGCGCCACCAGCCTTTGCAGCGCGCCCGTATCAAGAAAACAGCATTTTTTTTTTTTTTTTTTTTTTTTTTTGGGGGGGTTCCTAACGAAAACCACCAACAATATCAGGAATATCTGTGTTTTCATATGGTTTCCTTACAGAAACCAACAACATATTAATAATATTTGTGTTTTCACAAGGTTTCTGTGCGACAACCTTTCAAAATACTAAGAATAGTTGTGTTTTCATAGGTGTTCCTGCCTGGCGCATTGTCCCTGAGGGGCGTGGACCTGGGGAGGGAGCAGGGGGAGGGGCGCCCTTTGCTAGAAAACCAACAACTATCAGGAATATCTGTGTTTTCACATGGTTTCCTAACGAAAACCATCAAAAACATCAGGAATATCTGTGTTTTCATAGGGTTTCCTTGCCAAAGCATTCAAACATATTAGGAATATCTGTGTTTTCATATGGTTTCCTTAGAGAGCAGCCCCTTTTGTAAGGCTTCTCATAAGGAGGATGAGGAGGAGGAGGAGCAGCAGGAGGAGGGTGAGAGGAGGAGGAGAAAGAAAAGAGAGGAAACAGAGGAAGAAGCAGAGAAGCAGGAGGAGGGAAATGAGGAAGAGGAGGAGGAGGAGGAGGAGGAGGAGCAGCAGCAGGAGCAAACGATCAATGATGGATTTGTGGTCGTGGGTGGTTTGGGGTGCGCTGGGGGGGGGGGGGGGGGGGGGGGGGGGGGGGTGGGGGGGGGGGGGGGGGGACCATATATATATATATATATATATATATATATATATATAATTATTATACACACATATGTACGTACGCATGTACGTTTATACGTACGTATGCACATATGTCTATGTATGCATGTATGCATGCATGCATGTATGCATGTATGTATTATGTATCGGTATACGTGCATGTATGTATGCCTGGCTGCCTGTCTGCACGTATTTATGTATTCCCAACCCTCCTGCGTTGGGTTCTCGTTTTGAATAGAGCACTGCTCGCGCGAACCTTCCTTCCTTCCTTCCCGTCCCTCTCTTCCCCCCTGCCTTTGACCTCGCCATCCCTGGGGGGCTGCGATCTGCGAAACTGTCGCCACTTTCGAGGGCTGCTGGGGAGGCCAGCCAAACGGGACCTCGCCGTCCCTGGGGGGTTGCGATCTGTGAAACTGTCGCCACTTTCGAGGGCTGCTGGGGAGGCCAGCAGAGAGGGTACCCACCGCGGATCCAAACGGGACCTCGCCGTCCCTGGGGGGCTGCGATCTGTGAACTTGTCGCCACTTTCGAGGGCTGCTGGGGAGGCCAGCAGAGGGGGTGCCCACCGCGGACCCAAGCGGGACCTCGCCGTCCCTGGGGGGCTGCGATCTGCGAAATTGTCGCCACTTTCGGGAGCTGCTGGTGGGTCCTGCGGAGTGAGGCGCCGCGCGGACCTAAGCGGGACCTCGCCGTCCCTGGGGGGGCTGCGATCTGCGAAATTGTCGCCACTTTCGAGGGCTGCTGGTGGGTCCTGCGGGGTGAGGCACCGCGCGGACCTTAGCGGGACCTCGCCGTCCCTGGGGGGCTGCGATCTGCGAAACTGTCGCCACTTTCGAGGGCTGCTAGTGGGTCCCTGCAGAGTGAAGCACCGCGCGGACCTGAGCGGGACCTCGCCGTCCCTGGGGGGCTGCGATCTGCGAGATTGTCGCCGCTTTCGAGGGCTGCTGGTGGGCCCTGCAGAGTGGGGCACCGCGCGGACCTGAGCGGGACCTCGCCGTCCCTGGGGGGCTGCGATCTGCGAAACTGTCGCCACTTTCGAGGGCTGCTGAGGGGCGCAGCACAGTGGGTACTCACCGCAGACTTCGGTTAGACCTCGCCATCCCTGGGGGGCTGCGATCTGTGAAACTGTCGCCACTTTCGAGGGCTGCTGAGGGGACCAGCACAGTGGGTACTCACCGCAGACTCACATTAGACCTCGCCATCCCTGGGGGGCTGCGATCTGTGAAACTGTCGCCACTTTCGAGGGCTGCTGAGGGGCACAGCACAGTGGGTATTCACCGCAGACTCGAATTAGACCTTGCCATCCCTGGGGGGCTGCGATCTGTGAAACTGTCGCCACTTTCGACGGCTGCTGAGGGGCACAGCACAGTGGGTACTCACCGCAGGCTCAGATTCGACCTCGCCATCCTTGGGGGGCTGCGATCTGTGAAACTGTCGCCACTTTCGAGGGCTGCTGAGGGGCACAGCACAGTGGGTACTCACCGCAGACTCAAATTAGACCTTGCCATCCCTGGGGGGCTGCGATCTGTGAAACTGTCGCCACTTTCGAGGGCTGCTGAGGGGCACAGCACAGTGGGTACTCACCGCAGACTAAAATTAGACCTCGCCATCCCTGGGGGGCTGCGATCTGTGAAACTGTCGCCACTTTCGAGGGCTGCTGAGGGGCACAGCACAGTGGGCTTCCCGCACGTCTTTCTCTTGCTCTTCGTTCCCGACTCCCCATGTCCTCTTCGGGCCTGTAGTTGTCGCCCCTCGTTCTTGTATGGTTCTCCTGCGCATCATGCCATAGGCGCGTGTCCCAAATAGCTTACATATCAAACAACGGATCCTGCAATTTGATTGTCCATGCAAGTTTCGGCCAACTCCTCGTTTCCCATGGTGCAAATGGGTTGGGTACGCCACAGGGTAATTTATGTATGTATGTATGCAAATGCGCACGTATGTGTGCATGCATGCATGTATGTGTATATGTATGCATGCATGCATGCATGTATGTATGTATGTATGTAGGTATGCATGTATGTATGTATGTATCTATGTATGTATGTATGTACGTATGTATGTATGTATGTATGCATGCATGCATGCATGCATGTATGTATGTATGTATGTATGCATGTATGTATGTATGTATGTATGTGTGTATGTATGTGTGTATGTATGCATGTATGTATATGTGTATGTATGTAGGTCTGGTTGGATGTATGTATGTATGCTTGCACGCATGTATGCATACATGCATGCACGCGTGTATATGTATGCAGGTAGTTATGCATGCATGCATGCTTGTACGCATGTATGTATGCATATATGCATGACTATATTTATAGAAGACTGCATTTAGATACACACACATATACATTTATAGATTATATGTATATAGCGTTGTATGATTCCACATACATGCACGCACACACACACACATCTTTCACTCCTTTCTCTCTCTACGCACTACATATCGATGTCGATCGGCCTGCCACTGTGGACCCCGAATTGTGGTTGAATCCTGTGTGGTGCATTGTTTTTGGAGCAAGTGATATGGTGTAAGCTACTTGGTGCAACGTCTGTGGTGCAGTCTCTGTGGTGAAAACTTTGTGGTGTACTGAATGAGCTACAGGCTGTGTGGTGCAAGCTCTGTGGTGCACTGTACGTGGTGCAAGCTATGTTTTGGAAGCTATGTGATGCAAGCTACGTAGTACAGCCAGCGCTCGAGGTGATAAGTGCCTCCAGGCCTATGCCCCAATTCGTGCACACGCGAGCGCAAACATGGGGCACGCGGGGCTCACGGGACGGACGGAGCGCACATGGTGCACAGAGGCGCAGAGCGCACGGGGCACATAAGACACCCTGGGATCACAAGCGCACCACAAGCCAGATCCTATCCTCATGCAGATGTAGAAGGCGTCACGGCTGCTGCAAGGATCACGCTTCAGGGTTGACGGGGCCCAGAAAAATCGATCAATGGGGGGGACGAGGGCAATTTCACGAAAAGACCAGGCCGCGGATCCCTCCAGGGGTCGAAGTTGTCATCTGTTTGCGCCGCGTCCAGCCGTGGTGACGCGTAGGCCCCTTCCTCCTCCCCCTTGCTGCTTGGCTGGGGCCAGCGCTTGGCCACTTCAGCGCCCCAGCTGGCTCCGAGCTCGGGGAACGAAGGAGCACAGACTTCCAGGGTCGTCCGGAGGTGCTGGCGCTCTTTGCCCGGAGGGGCCCGGACTCGCCGAGCGATCTCGGGTCGGCTCCTGCCGCGCCCGGCCTCGCCGAAGCCCTCCGTGGGCACCCGAGGAGCCCCCGCCAGGCTGCCCTTCAGACGGCTGCTCGTCGCCACCAGCACGCTCGAGGAAGAGGCGCTCAGACATCGATGATCCCACACCAAGCGGTTAACAAATGCCCAGGGGGTGTTGTAGCGCCCCACTGGGGATTGGGCGATTAGCCACTTATTTCTGGATCGTCGTCGTCGTCGTCGTCGTCGTCGAGGCCGCCAGATTGCAGCCAGCGACCCAGACGAGAAAGAAGTATTGTTATAGATTTTTTTGTAGTTTTCCTTGCCGAATATATTTCTGTTCATTGCTCAGTTTCATTGCGCGGTCCTCGTTTTTGCATTTTTCGGTTCCTCGGGGATCCTTCGTCGCAATGGCCGGATTCGCCTCAGGATCATGGTCAGGACGCTCTCCTGCAGGGGTCCAGGGAGTAGCCAGTGCCGGTGCCTCTTGGTCTTCCTCATCAGAGTTCAAGATCTCATTGCGTTCCATCTAAAGGAGACATCTGTGATGAACTCGTACGACGCCGTCGCGGTTGTCTCTATCACGGTGGGGCTCCAGGAATTCCGTGCCTCAAATTCAGAAGACGGATGCCTTAGATTTGCCGTTGCCTGTTTTTTTCCCAAGCGCTCGCTGCGGAGTGGCGGCGTCAGAAGAGCTATCCACCAGCTTGACGGAAGATTGTTCCTTTCGCTGGTGTGAAGACTGGAAAGGAGGACGATGAGGAGGGAGTGAGGGATGAAGGAACGAACAGGAGAAGGAGCAGCAGGAGCAGGATGATAATCGGGGGATTCTAGACCAAAGGCGCTTCCTTGGCTTCAGAAGACAACAGACAAGCACGGGTGTTCAACATTAAAGAGTTCTGTTTTAGGTGTGAACCCAAACTTTTAGCAAGCTTTTGGCCATCCTCGACAGCATCTGGTGGCTGTCTGTGAAGCTGCAGGATGCGTTGCTGTTTTCCGATGCCGGCAGGGTATTTTGTCGCACTCAGCCTCGCTCCCGAGACAGTGGCGAACGTCGGAGGCGTTGCTGCTGGCTGCAGCCGAACCCCCTCTCCTCTCGCGCCTCCTCCCAGCCCTTTGAGTTCGCAGCCTCACAGTGTCGTTCAACCTACCCCCATCCCCACCGGGCCACGATATCTCCCCCCCACCATCCCCCCCCCAGTGAGGGATATGCCCCTCGAGACCCGAAGGGAACAGCCCATATCCCCATGTAGGGGGGTAGATTGGCCAGTGGGGCCCTGGTTATGCCAGTGGGTGGGGATTGGGATCGGTTCAACGATGCTCAAGCTCTGATGCATCCACTCCCGCCGCCTCTTCTAACACATCTTTCCCCAGGGGCGCAATCGCGAGGGCCCTCTGGCCTCTGGGTCTAGCCGTGCGCAAAGTTGACGCAAGTGACGCACCGCGCTTCATCCTCTGCATTCGTCGCACCTCTCCATTTTTTCTCCGCTGCCGATCTGCACTGCCATGGCACAGTGCGCCTCTCGTCTTTGCCTTCTTCCTCCATCCTCTTCCTCCTCCACTCCATAGGAGCCCACGGAGCTCCTCGCTTTTCAGGCTGGCTCGGCCTTGTGGGACGACTTTCGTGGCAAGCCTCCAGCCACCGACTCGGAGGACTCTGAGTGAGCCCCGACGGTGGCGCAGGCTGGACTCGCCCGGCCGCCGGCCAGGCACGTCAGCGTCGACTCCGTGGCAGCCCCTCGGCTCAGCATCCGCCGAAGTCCTGGCCACGCACATGTGGGATTCGCTCGCAAGATTCGTGCCGCGCAAAGATCAGGAGGGAAAGAAACACACAGACACAATTAATCGTCGACTCCCAGGAAAATATAGGAAAATATGGGAAGTGGGGGGGAAGACAAAAACCCAGAAAATATGGGAAAATATGGGGGATATTTTTATTTGTGTGTATTTATTTGTGTGTCCCAGTTCCCCTTCAAAAGAAAAGCTTCGACCAGAGATTCTCGGGTCCGCTCTCAGGAGTCCTGCTTTCGCTCGGGGCCCCGGCATCCTGCCGCCGTCTGTGTGGGCCGTGTGGTCCTCGTCGGGGGTGGTCGCTCCCTGCCCACGATTTCGGCAGCAGGTCATGGGAGCCTGGCGTACCCTTTTAATTTTGTCTTTAGCGTCGATTAGCGTCGACTAGCGTCTGGGAGTCGGTGCGATAGCGCCGATTTAGCGTCGGTTAGCGTCGATTAGCGTCGATTCAGCGTCGACTAGCGTCGGCTAGCGTCGATTTGCAAGAGCCGACAAGACGGCATGGGAGGCTCCCATGAGTTGCCACCGAACACACGCTGCAGGACTCGTTTTCCTCTGTAGGTCCCGTGTCGTGCTTCGGGATCACAACAGACTTGTTCTGGTCCTGAGTTGGCCACGCGGTGATCCTGTGGGATCCATCCACAGGACCTTGCTCTTGTGTCGGCCCAGTCGAGATCATGTGGGGTGCAAGCACAGGGATTCTAGTGGCATCTCAGGGTTCGAGAGGCCTTACCGTGACCAGCTGACTGCGGTCGCTTCCCACGATGAGGGCGCTCAGAGACACCACCCGTCAGTACATGGTTCTTGTGAGGATCAGTCAGGATCAAGCGACACGAACAGGGGCCTTGGTCGGCAGTCCAAGGACGCCACTGGTCACGCAGACAGGTTCTTCTACCAGTTTTGGAGAACCCCCGCCCGGCAGCTCTCCCTTGGTGACTTTGGATTCTGGCACAGACAGGCTGGGCCCCCTGGAACTTTCGCCGTTCCTCGTCGCATATGATGCCCTTCTACTTGTAACGAGCTGACCATGCGTCCCGTGGACAATTCTCGACGCTTCGCGAAACCCCACCAGCCCATCCAGAAACGATGCCCAGGCGAGTTGCACTGATCATTCATGTGGGGGAGCATGTAGTGGAATAAAGGGCTGGTAAGCCGCCATTTCCCAACAGGAAGAGGATGGAGGAGGAATCGGAGGAGGAGGAGGAGGAGGAAGAGGAGGAGGAGGAGGAGGAGGAGGAGGAGGAGGAGGGGGAGGAGGAGGAGAGCGACCAGAACGACCAGAGGCCTCTTGGGTGCCTCTCGAAGTATCTGATAATGTCTCTTGAGCACATCCTGTGGGCCTCTTGGCGGTCCTGGAGGCCTCTTGGAGCGTCTTGGGTGCCTCGAAGGAGCCTATTGGGGCCTCTTGGGGGTCTCTTGGGAGCCTTTTGGGGACCTTTTTGGGGTCTCTTGGGGCCTCCTGGGCGCCTCTTGGGGTCGTCTTGGGGCAATCCTGGGAGCCTTGGGGGCCATCTTGAGGCCATCTTAGAAGAGTTCGTTCAAAGAATGGGGGAGAGTAACTAGAGCCCCCCCCCCGGTCCAGTCGATCGCGGAACCTCCCGTCCAGGTCCATGAGGGAGGGGGTATGGGAAGGGACAAGCTACCCACCCGCCCGCAAGCCGTCTAGCTCACTCCCACCCGCCCTCTCAACACATAAGTAACACCCGAGCCTGAGCATGTTCAGCGGTCGTCTTTGGATGGGCAGCTGCTGGGAACCAAAGCCGACCCCAGGTGCGCGATGCTTGGACGAGGTGCGCTACGCGTGCCAGGGGCGCCACGTGCGCCAGGCACCCCTGGGGTCCGAGGGTGCCAGGCACGCCAGGTGCGCCAGATGTGCCACGTGCTCCGAGTGTGCCAGGTGTGCCGCACACTCCAGCCGCGACAGGTGCGCCACGTTCGGGGCACGTGCAGAGTGCGTCAGGTACGCCTGCGCACTCATCGGGAAGCGTGTCGGCCCCCGCCGTCCTCGTCGAAAACCAATGCCCATCATTGTGTCGTGTGGGCCTTCGCACAGCAGGCCACGCGCCACCACCCCGGCCGTCGCTGTCAAAAACCATTTGACAGTGATCGCGGAATTGCCGCGCATGATCCAGATTTGGCCGCAGGTGCATGTTGTATTGTTTTCTGTCAGGGATGGCAGCCCTGCGCGCAGCAGGGAATATGTTGACACCCCCGCCGTCCCTGTCAAAAGTGATACAACGTGCTCGCGGGCCTCACGAACATGAGTCAAGACTTTACCCCAAAGTGTACTTTGCATTGTTTTTTGACATGGGATGGTAAGGGGGACCGCATCGGGTTGGCCGCGCATGCTCCAAATGTGGAGTCATAATGCGGTTTGGGGGGCGGGCCCGCGTGGATTCGGCATGGTTCCGGGCTGGCCGCCGGCCGGGTGGTGGGCGGGGTGTATATTAATAAGGAAGAGTAATTGAACCCTTCCTTGAAGGGAGAGAAGGGGGGAGAAGGGGGGTTGGAAGATGATACCCGCTAAACCACTCACGCCCGAAAGGGCTGGTGGGATTCCATATGACGCGTTTTTATGTTGCATGATGTGCACGGCACATCGTCCACCGGGCGTCCCCAATTCGGTAGGGGTTCTGGTCGCGGATACTCTCGACCAAGAGATCGTGCGCGAGGTAGATGGCTTTTTAAAGCTGGCTTCAAAGCCTCGCAGTTTGATGATTGCATGTGTTCTTACGAACACCGGGGCAGTAGATCCCGTCGCAATGTATTGAAAGGGAAGGGAGTGGGACATATTTGTCGGCTTCCTACCCCACGACAAGTTCTCTGGTCATTACAGCGCATAGTTCCCGTTCGTGTATGGAGCAGTACAGTGGATCACCTGACATTCAAGTGCATCGTGGTCCCGCGGTGCCAGGCCCCATGGTGGCTCCACAGTCGATTCGAGTATTCTTTGATTTCCACGTGCACCCGTAGCACCTCGGGATCTTCGTGCGTGGAGCGAGGCTTGAGCGTCGATGCGGCCGTGGTCCAGCCAGTGGCCCTTTGTCCAATGGGTGGGCCTCGTTCATCGGGGGGCACTCAAGCGTCGATTCAGTTGCTCATGCCCCGTGGTACCTCGTGGCTAGGGTTAAGTCGGGCGTGTCCCTCTACACGGGGAATATTCCAAAGTAACCGAATACCTTCGAGAATAAACACTAGGGGATAATAAAGTTCGGGGTTCAGGGGGAGATAACCAAATTCTTATTGGTCGACGATAAAAAACTCTAACGACTTAAGGGGGGGGGGTCACTTTATTCTCATCGGCATGCGGTTAGTGAAACAATAGCCTGGGGACGATTTTTTGACTATTTTAAACTACTTTTGAATATGTTTGGGGTACTTTTTTGTTTTTCGTCCAAAGTCCCTTCGTAGGGGGGTCGGCTCAGCTGCCTCGTTGTCCAAACGGCCCTCGGGGGCCCTGCGCGTGGGCTCCAGGGGTCTCGAGCGGCGCCTCGGCCGCCTGTGGCTCCGTGAGCTCGTGGCCTCTCGCGTGCGGGGTTGAGCTCAGGATTCGAGTGCTCGTGGCCCAGAGGCGCTGTGTGCACCCGTGTCTTGGGTGGCAAATCATGGGAGCCTTGGTGTGTCCTCGAGATCCCGTTTCTAAAGTGCATTCGCGTGCGCTAGCGTCTGGTAATCGATGCGAAAGCGTCGATCTAGCGTCGATTAGCGCCGATTTTCTTCGATTGGCGTTGGCTAGCATAGATTATCCTCGATCAGCGTCGGTTTGCGTCCGTCCGCAATAGCCAGCGAGATGACATGGGAGGCTCCCACGAGTTGTCACAGAACGTGTCCGCCTTCACGTAATTGACGGGTTTCAGCGCAGACGGGGTTCAGCCAGAGCGCCAGGTCCTGCAGGATCCTGCAACGCCTGATGTTGGCTGAGCTGTGTTTGGGAGCCACTCGCGGCCCTGGAGGTGGCCTTACGCATCGGCCGAGCAGATTTTGGGAAGCCACCCCAAACAATTGCAGTGCAGTTTTCCCAAATCGGCTGGGCTGGGTTTGCGCTGAGCTGGTCTAGTCCTCGCCCGACCGTCGCCCTCGTGTGAGGCGGGCCCCCAGCGTCCCGAGACGACCGATGCGACCAGCGGGTTGCGCGCCCCAGCGGCGCGCTGACGCAGAGAGCGTGAGACGAGCCCAGCTGGCGCTGCAGCGCCGTACCGGTGCTGGCCACACGACGCGGGCGGGGCCGCAGGCGATGCGAGTCGGCCACGGCCACGCCATCATGCGTGCCCACCGGCACGGGATCGGCATCACCCAGACAAGCTTCTATCGCCGAGCGCGTTCCATCACTCGCAAAGTGCCTACTCGCAAACGTCCGAAAAACATGTGCTTGCTTCGATGGAGTTTGTTGCAGATAAGCCCTGCGGCGGATCCAGGCCACTTGCGAGCAGTTCCTCTGCGAGCAGTGAGCGGAACGCGCTCGCCCGTTCTGCTGGGCAGTCGACGACCGCACGAGCATCTGAAGAAGGGCAGCTGCCAGCGCATCGTCGAGCGCAGCCGGAGAAGGGCACTGGCCAGGACGACATCCGCCGCCTCTGCTGCGTCTGCGCGGGCCCCACCGGGGGAGACGCGCGCTCGAAGAGATCTCGTGGCGTGCGATCGGGGGTGGGCGCTCTCTGGCCATGCCGCCTTGGCAGAGACAGATCACCAGATGCTCGTACTTCACCGCCCACCAAACCACCCCAACCCAGCCCGAAGGCCCCGATCTGCCCTCCATTTCCAGTGGGGGAGAGGGGTCGGGGAACATTCCCAAACACATGTGAAGCCCGCACCGCCCCCCCAGCCCGAAATGCGGGCGAAATTCGGGTCTTCGGGTTGGGTGGGGGGTGGTCTGGTAGGTAGTCAGTACTACATGCTCGGTCCTGACGTGCGCCTCCAAGCGGGGCCCTGTGGTACGAGTTTGTCCTGCTCCTCATTCGCCTGCCTCCTCCTCCTCACTCTCCCTCCTACTCCTCATTCTCCTGCCTCCCTCCTCCTCCTCCTTCCCCCTCCTCTTCCCCTGTGCTCCTCCTCGTCCGCCTCCCCCTTCCTCGTTCTCCTCCTCCCCATCTGTACCAGTCCCATTTGAAAAGTCAGATGGCATCCGTTTTGATCGCCGACCGTCGCGAGCAGCCGAGGAAGGCTGTCGCAAGACTGTTCGAAGGCCCCGCCCACATCGACTGCTGGCCCAAGCTGGATCCCTACGGTGGGGTCGCCCAGTCTTGTCATCCAACGCCGTGGCCCAGGCGCCAGACGGGGTCATCCACAGGGACGGGGTGACAGGTAGCGGGCAGTGATCCGTAAGGGCTTCGCCCCCTGCCGCCGGCCCCCTCTCTCGGAGAATGGGCCATGGAAGAGCTAAGTCATGAGGCCTTGGCGCTGTCGTGAAGCAGTATCGAAACTTCATGCGAAGCCGAGTCGCAATCAGCAAAACCAACTGATCACAAGAGGGGTTACCACACCTGGCGATTGGTAAGACGTGTATGGTTTACGGGCTTGGTTACCACACCTTGCGATTAAAGGGCCGAGGGAGTTCTCGCAGTTTGGGTTACCACGCCTTGCGATGGATGTGCGTGATGGGTTCGAATTTCAGAAATGTGGCAAATCCCTGTGTTTTTGGACCCTGACCCCGCGGATCTGCGTGAGGGGTGGCACCGAATTTCAGAAATGTGGCAAATCCCTGTGTTTTTGGACCCTGACCCCGCGGATCTGCGTGAGGGGTGGCACCGAATTTCAGAATGTGGCAAATCCCCTGTGTTTTTGGACCCTGACCCCGCGGATCTGCGTGAGGGGTGGCACCGAATTTCAGAAATGTGGCAAATCCCCTGTGTTTTTGGACCCTGACCCCGCGGATCTGCGTGAGGGGTGGCACCGAATTTCAGAAATGTGGCAAATCCCATGTGTTTTTGGACCCTGACCCCGCGGATCTGCGTGAGGGGTGGCACCGAATTTCAGAAATGTGGCAAATCCCATGTGTTTTTGGACCCTGACCCCGCGGATCTGCGTGAGGGGTGGCACCGAATTTCAGAAATGTGGCAAATCCCCTGTGTTTTTGGACCCTGACCCCGCGGATCTGCGTGAGGGGTGGCACCGAATTTCAGAAATGTGGCAAATCCCTGTGTTTTTGGACCCTGACCCCGCGGATCTGCGTGAGGGGTGGCACCGAATTTCAGAAATGTGGCAAATCCCCTGTGTTTTTGGACCCTGACCCCGCGGATCTGCGTGAGGGGTGGCACCGAATTTCAGAAATGTGGCAAATCCCCTGTGTTTTTGGACCCTGACCCCGCGGATCTGCGTGAGGGGTGTCGATTTCGAGCCCCCCCAGCAATTCAGACAACGCGCCCAGGGGACGCTGGAAAATTCTGTTTGGGCCTCCCCCCCCCTCGCGCGGTCAATCAACTAGTTACAGTAACCAGCAAGAAGCAGAACTTTAACACTGGAAACTAGAAACTACAACTGGTACAGGAAACTGCGAATCACGGGCCTACAGCCTGGTGGCCCCACAAGGGGGCCGGCGGATTTGGGAGCTGCTGAAAGGGTCAACTCCGCTACGCTACTCCCCGTGCTGCGACTGCCTCTGTTGGCACCCCCCACCAGTCCCGCCCCCAGATCAGCCTTCTTTCCCGAGCTGCCAGTGCAAGGGAAAGAGATCCAGAGAGGGAAGGAGGAGTTCCTCACCTCCTCTTCCTCTCCCTCTCCTTCCTCCTCCTCATATGGCGCGTCACCATCACCATCCTCCTGTTCCTCCCTCTCTCCTCTGGGCGGAGCGGGCCTGTACAAAACGGGGCCCGAACGGAGTGCGACGGCGGATCTAGTCGACTGTGCAAAGCCTTCTGGCAGCGTGCGTTTTTCTTTCCGCGACAGGTCCGCGCTCCGTCGAGAGCCGAGCTGCACTGCGGCACATCGTGCTGGCTTGTGCGCCTTCTCTCGCGCGGACGCCCTCAACCGTAAGGCTTTTAAGGATCGTGCTCCCCGAGGTGGTTAGGCATCGGGGCACGGTTCGGGCTTGGCTCGCTTCCGCAGCAGCATGGGCACGGCCCAGATCTGCACTGCTATGTTGCCGCATTTTTTTGTGGTGGGGGGGGGCAAAACATGTGCATCGTCAGGGATCGGGCTCACGGGCCATGGTTAGGCGGCCTCGACGTGGATCTGGGGCAGTGAACGAGGGCCCAGCTCGGGATCTGGGTCTGAGGAGCCAGAGCCACGGGGCAGGCTCATGGATCCCTCCCCTTCCTTCCTCCTTCTCCTCCTTCTCCTCCTTCTCCTCCTTCTCCTCCTTCTCCTCCTCCTCCTCCTCCGCCTCCTCCTCCTCCGGGTCAGAGGTAGGAATGGGGTCAGGGCCAGGGGCAGGGTGAGGGACCAGTTCGAGGGCCCCGTGTCAGGGTCAGCGGGGAGGTGTCACGGGTCAGGGTTATACGGGTCGGGATTTCAGAGGCAGGGTACTGGATCACGGGTCACGGCCTGGTGTCAGCGTGAATGTCCAGGGTTCAGATGTTTTGGTGGGGCCTCCTGCGCCGCGTTGCTGTCGCGGAGGCTCGTGTTCCTCCTGCGGCAGGCGCCCTGGGGTTGCGGAGGCTCGTGTTTCTCCTGCGACCCTAGAGGCTGCAGAAAGTCCGCAGGTGGCCGCGAGGCACTCGCCCAGCCTGTGAGCGCGGGAAAAGCGTGAGGGGTCATGGTCGGGACTCAGGGGGTCAAGAATCACGGTCGAGGGTCGGGGTGCAAGTCAGGAGCAGCTGTCAGGGTCTGGGGTCAGGGTCAATGGTCTGGGCCGGGTTCTGGGTCGACAGTCTGGGCCAGGCTTCGCAGTCAGGCATCCGGCACTAGGTTTAGGGTCCAAGGCCAAGATCACGTGTCCTTGGGCAGGGTCGATCAAACTTCGGGTACGGGCAAATCTGTCCTGGGATGCTGGCCAGGGTCAAGTGTGAAGGTTATTCTCAAGGGTCGGGGTTCGAAGGGTGGGGTCTGGGTCAGGGGCCCAGGTCATAGTCACGAGCAAGGGTAGGGATGAGGACCGAGAGACGAGGTCAGGTGCCCGAGTCCGGGGTCAAGGTCAGGGCCGAGGCGAGGGGCCAGGCATTTTTTGAAATGTTTCTTCGTTTTTTTTTTCCGTTTTCCGTTTGTGCTGATTTAGCACTGCGCCGATACATGCAGTCACGCATTTTTGGCTTTTCTAGGTTTTTTTTTGTGGGCGGTATCTTCGAGCGCATCAGGGGTACGGCCAGAGGGTCTGGGTGACACAGGAGTCAGCACCGAGGGGACGCATCAGGATCAGGTCGTGCCCGCGCTCATGCCACCCCCGCCGCCTCCTTCCTCATTTTCCCTCTCGTTTTTTTTTTTTTTTTTTTTTTTTTTTTTTGTTTTTTTTTTTTTTCTCTCGGAACGTGTCAATGACACCTGCCCAAAAGTTCGAAGCACGACTCAGGAGGCCCTGCCGCCGTGGGCTTCCAGCTCTGCCCAGGCGGGCAGCATCAAGCCAGATCTCGTGAGACTTTTGGTACTGTCACACTTTTCTGCTCCGTCTTCGCCTCCTTTGCCCCCCCTCTTCCGTGCCCGCCCCTCTCGTCCTCTGGCCCCCTCCCGCCCTGGCCTCTCAGGGCCTCCGCTCCCCTTCTCCGCCGCCCCCCCCCACTTCCCGGACGCCACCGCGGCACCCGCGGAGGCGATGCGGGCTGCCGGCGCGGTGGACCGGGGAAGCTGCCGTGCCTGGGTGGAGGCTCGCGCACGGCCGGGCAGCATCGTCTGACCGATCCTATCCCCACTGGGCCAGGGTATCTCGGCTCCAACAGCACCTTCCCCACTGGTTGGGACGGGCCCCGCGAAGCTGGAAGTCACCGAGCGCGTTCCGCTGCTCGCAAGGTGCCTATATCCGCAAGCGTCCGAAACAAATCTTTGCTTGCCTCGATGTGATATCTCGTAGCTCCCGCGCGGCGGAACCAGGCCATCTGCGAGTAGTTACCCTGCGAGCAGTGGAACGCGCTTGTCTAGGAAGTGAGCAGCATGTATCCCCACCAAAGGGGGGCAGGTCGGCCCCCAGGGCCCAAGGCCACGTCAGTGGGGATGGGGATCGGTTCAACGGCCACGGCGGATCCAGGCCTCCTTCTTCTCCTCCTCCTCCTCCTCCTCCTCC